TTGTATATTATTTTAACCATGTATTGTGTTAAATTTCCTAAACTAACTAAACAAGCCTCCCTGTGTTTTTTTATTTTCCTGTTATAATTTATTTCATTGGATTATATTTGTAACAATGCATACTGCCTACATTTATAGCCAGAGTTGACACCTAGTTTTAAAGCTCCAGAAAAGCAGTAAATGTATGCTGCTATGTGTATGGCCTATAAACAAACAAGCTTTTAGATTAGAAATACATGGATAGACATGCTTCAGTTTTTCGGTTTTATAATTGCAAATTGCTTGTTCAGTATCTAGGACGCTGGACTTTTAAGATCTGTGCATCATTACCATTTCTAGGAGGAAGGCATCTCATTGTTTTTTTGCATTATGCACGGGAAAATGGGGCACAGTCATTACTGCAAAGGTAACACCAACAGAGACTGGGAACACTGCATACTTAAGAAGGCACGCTTTCACGATTGTAAGAAGATCCTAAAGTGTGATATGTAAATGCTGCTGGCAAAGCTCTCCAGCAAAATGTAAAATAATATACCAACTCTCTAAGCTTGTGCCAGCAGCGTTTAATGATATTTAGAACCAACAAGCCAAATCAGGAGAGCTGCATAGAAAATACAATTCATAAAAATGAATGAATAGATTATACAGGCAATCTGTTTGATTCTAGCTCTTTACCCTGTAACCTCTCTCCGTATAGGCAGCAGAATGGCTCAGTGGTTAGTACTGGTAACTTGCAGTACTGGTTGTACGGTTGATCTCGGTTCATACTATTATCTGCATTGGAAATTCAAGTTGTAACAGTGGTTTCTACATTTTACTGATTTACACTGATTTCGGCATTATAATGTAGAGACAAAGGAATAGAAATTCAAGATTGAAGTTTAGCATCTGAAGCTCATGTAGATTGCATTGCTTTCATATTTGTTTCCCTGGCTCAGTATAGAGATTGTTAATGTGGTGTATTTACTAAAGGAGTGAAGAATGTTCACCAGCAGATGAAAGTTATGTTCACTTTTGATACCCAGTCATGTACAGGGGAAATTTATAAAAACTTTGCACATGATTGGATGATTGAAGTGAACACAACTTCCCTGTTAAAGCTAAACTTTATTTTTTTACATGCATCTACTGCAAGTCCCTGAACTTGACTCAATATTAACCTCTTGCAATCCACCATACAACAGAGCTCAGACTCAGAGAGGGAAAAGCAGTTCAAGGAGCCATTAAAGTGACATTAAACCCTCAGATTTTTTAACATAAACCAATACTGTAATGTGTGCCTTACTGTAATCCATGGTTGTTTCCCTTCTCTTTGCTGCTCTTCCTTTTAAATCTGTATCTGTTCTCATGCTGGGCAGAACTTCTGTTTTGCAGCAGACTGCCTTGTCTCTGAAATGGATACATGGTGTCTGTGTGTTGGTTTTCAACCTGAGCCAGCACTACAGGAAGAGGCACTTAGCTGCAAAGGGAAGTTCTCCCCAAGCATGAGAAGACATGAGGATTTAAAAGGAAGAGCAGCAAAGAGAAGGGAAACAACCATGGATTACAGTAAGGCACACATTACAGTATTGTTTTATGTTAAAAAATCTGAGGGTTTAATGTCACTAAGTCATACTGCAGTGCTTATGTGCCAACAAGGGATATACTAATAGGAGGAGAGAGCAAAGTGACATATCTTTGACAGACATCTGTGTGCTGCTTCTCTTTTCACTGCCCATTCACAGGTTGGGGGCTGGGAGGAGACTTGAACTGCAGCAGAGAAAATCAGGTCCCCTACCTTACTAAGCAGAGCTGTGCTGTGTAGGAGAGTTGTGTAAATCTCAGGACTGGATGAATGGAAACAAAATCTATTTGGCAGGTGTTTTGCTGTTTTCCTTGAGTCCAGCTTAAAGTAAACATCTTCTTCTTTATCGCCAGACTTTTGTCTGGTGATGGCTGTAAGGTAATTTAAAAAACGTACGATCTGCCTATCTTTGGACAGGTAGATCGTATTTGCGATGATCGCAAGCCCGCCCCGCTGAGGGGCGGGCTTCCGATGACCGCAATGCTAAACGGGCAGTGTGCGCTTGCGCACACCGGCCCGTGCTGATTTTATCTTGCGAACATGTCACACACCCGCCGACAATCGTACGATTCTCGGCGGGTTTTCGAACATGTTCATAAGATAAAAGTCGTGCGACCTTACAGTAGGAGAGGTCACACACCTTCCA